GGGTTGAGCAACGCTATGTTTATGTATTACAATGCATGAAACAACATTATCAAAACCAACGCAGGGTACAAATAAAAAACAGCTCTGTGACTTTATAAAGAGGCGCGTTGCAACGGCTACAACATATGTTGTATCAGCGTGGACAGCTGTTGGCAATAAAATCGGTCCAAACCACACCTCTGAGGTTTTGTGGCTCGGCCACAAGAGGAGGGGGTGGGGATGTCCCAGTTTTTGTGGCTCTGCCTGACTCCGCATTGTCTAGGGGTAAACAGTGATGGGGAGTAAGCTGCACGCGTGCTCCGGACTCAGCCTTGCGTGACAAACAAGAACTTGCCTCCAGCTTATTGGGGCAGCCGACCGTCCCAGACCAGAGTCCACGCCGCTGCATGTTAGCGGTGCGGGTGTTCGACCTGCCAGGTAACGTGTCGAGATGTTGCAATTCATGGCCGTGGTTGTATTCGTTATGGTCACGGGTTAAACATTTTTTTGTCAGCATATCGCTGTGCTTTGCCGGCTCTCCTTGTGTTCGTCTCGCTTTGCACAACCTGCGTTTGTTCCATCGACATAACGATAGCAGGAGAATAACGGCGCGTGAAATACAATTGATACGGAAGAGTAGGCTAAGTACCCTCTAGACGAGGGATCTCTATAACTCCCTCTAGGTAATTTCAGGATTGCACTTTTACCTTCATATTCATATTGAACCCACTATTGGAGGATAAAGTTTATTTTCTTGTGACCATACTTCACCACAGGTTGGTGATTAAGGTGGCCTGGTAAAGACTTTAGCTATCAATGTGAAAGCCTGCAATTGCTCGCTGACGCCACACTGCTGGCAGAAGAGCCTCCACCACAGCGGAGATCTAGGGATTATCCTCGATATGGCATTTGGCCTACTCTTCCACGCTGGCCAAGAGACGGGAGTCCACATGCTCTAACCCACCACATGTGACCTGCCAGTCGGCTGCGGTGACTGATGATGTTAAGCCGTGTCCAAGAATCGAACCCAGGTTTTCAACATTTGCACCACAGCGTAGCCTATCGCATCAATCGAAAAATCAACAACTCTTGTACGCGCGCTTTGATGCGTGTGTAGTGGGTTCCACAGAGGTGCATACTCGAACTTGGAGTAAACACGTTAATTCTCAATACAATGGGGTAACTATATAACCACTTGACGTGATAACGATATAGGGTGGTATCCACCACGTGTAACTACATAACCACTCGACAGGATAACGACTGAGGGTGGTGACCACCACGATAAGCTACGTAACCACTCAATGGGATAACTATATACTTGGACCAGGTCAGCTAACACCCTGCCTGGTCCACGATGCCGTGCGTGAAGCCCAAAGACCGAAGACGTAGCCGGCGGATTCCATTCCCAGAGATGAACAACCACAATCGCTCTCGAGACTCGACCTTTATTGGCTGCGGCGTAGCTAGGCTCCGCCCTCTGCCACGCCCCTTTACAGATCCTTCTCGGAGAATCTAGGCCCACAGCACGTGTCCATCTCACCTCCTCTTTGGCCCTCATTTCTACCTCATCCGGTCACGTGCCTTCTCAGCTTCACCCAGACTACCACGTCCTCACCCGACCTCTCTCTCACCGTCACCCGAACCATGCCCCCTCGGGGCCCTTCCGTTTCATACTCATCCCGGTGCTAGAGACAGACTCCACACATACAGTACCGCTCTTCTCTCGGCACTGGTGCTACACCACAGAGACATGATACACGCCACTACACGTGTATAATGAACCCCGTTGTGAGTCGGTGCATTGTATCAAGTTGTTGGGCAACGTGCCCCTGCATGGGCTGGTATGGGGTACCACGGTGGCTCGGAGATGTTAACTCCATCGCCTGGTATACAGGAAGTCGTGGGCCCGTTCCCGACCAGAACTTTGCAGGCGGGATTGGTGGATTGCCTGTAGAATGCAAGTACAGTACACCAAGTAGGTTGCTGAGCAAAGTGCAGACTTTTTTGTTATCCTCCCACGTGAGTGTATTTTTTCTATGTGCTTTAGTTTACCAGTTAAGTTATTGCCAATTCCGCCAATATTACCACAGACCTTACCTCGGTCCTCCCACAATGGATAAAGGTCATGCAAATTCAGAGTAAACTATTCATTCTGCAGAAAACAAAATAAATGTGTTGGAGAGAGTGTGCATCTGTGTGTGTGGGGAGCGGTAGTTTAGTGTTTAGTGCACTGAGCTATGAACCTGGGCGACCCGAGATCCATTACCGCTTACTGCCAATATCGGTGACAAATATCTGAAGCAGTCTTGGGCCTCCCCGAGGTCGACTCAGCCTTAATACCTGGTGCATCGTGTAAACACCGATAAGGTAAGTCAGAGGCGGGGTGGTAAGACACGGGCGCCACTGTGGCAGGAGGTTTACAACATCGCCAGGTATACGAGAGGTCGTGGGTTTAATCCCGACCCTGACGATGCCTGTATCTTTGGAGTTTGCATCTGCTCCCCGTGGTCGCATGGATTTTTCTCCGGGGCCTCTGGTTTTGCCCTCTACATTTAGAATCATGCGCTTACATTTTCACATGATAAGCCACTCGTTGAGCTATAATTTGTGGCCCAGGTTGCATCTGATGAAGAGCTATATGGCTCAGTGGGCCTTACCTGGTAAAATAAAAAATATTGGAGTGATGAGGACCACACCATCCGCTCATGCCCTGTGCCGACTTTCATTGGTGCATACCAACAGCACATGCCTCCACGCCTACGCGGGGATCTTTGCCTTTCTCTCTGTGTGCCTGTGTGGGAATGAGTTACTTCGTGCGGCGTAAGGATATCAACAATGAAACAAAGGTGGTTGTCAACACCACACCCTTATGTGCCGTGCCTGTCTTAGTAGGTGCTCGCTAACGTCACCTGTCTCTATGCACTGTATTGCTTGCTGTACTGGGCATCTTTGATATATATTCAACATATACAATCCTCTGGCAGATCAGATTCCTATGTTGTTTATATGTTGTGGCATTCGCATTCATGGCAAGTGGTATCTGAAAGTGGGTTGGGGCTCGTTTAGATCTACTCGGCGTTAAATGAGTATCTGTTGTGGCATGTGAATATCAGCAAAGGAGAGACTAATGTGGCCACGAGTGGTGCTGCCGACACTGCTGCTCATCTGCTTTGCCGGCTTGAGCAGGAGATCACCCACAGCAGTTCACTTTGTAGCCAGGGACAATCGTCGTCTTTGTTGACATAAAAACTAAGGACAAAAACTTGGGATCAATGGCATTGTAATTCATGCGCCTATTGACACAGGTTCCATTTCCGATCACGTCTAAACCTGGCTGGAGCTCTGCCTAGGTCAGCTCAGGACAAAATTGTTATCATTTGAACTGCGTGAAGATCAGCACTGGGAAGAGACGCATTTCAGTGCAATGCTTGTTAGGCATCTTGCTTGCATTAATAGGTGCTTGTTTGCTAACAGCACTTGTCAATGAACATCACTTATCTATAAAGGCAGAATGTTTTATCTTTAATACATTTTTTTTTATTTAAGCCTGTCATACGTTCCCCGTGTCTGCAAAAGCGTATCGGGGACACTATGTGTGTCTTACGGTAATACGCGTATGTACAGAGTGTGCTAAATGCATTGACTACATTTGCCCTGCCTCTTTATGTAGATAATTGGGATCTTAATGTTTTTTTGTATGCGTAGATATGTGGTCACCTGACTTTCATAGAGTGTGGCACACAGTTTGTTTGCACATAGTCACTTTAATATGTTTTCTTGTTCATGTTTTTGTTTTTTGTTTGTTGCGGTTGCACCCGATTCAAGAGCCGAATGGCTCACAGGGCTATACCTAATAAATGAACTTGAACTTGTAGAGCCCCAGTCTGGCCAGGTGGCTCAGTGGCAAAGTGCGTGGCTCGCAATCGCAAGGGCCATGAGATAAAATACAGGTTGGAGGTTTACTCAGTCCACCATCCCTTCAGGGTGGTTTAAATACACTAAACGAAACTTTTTATTTTACCAGATAAGGCACCACTGTGCTAGATAGCTATTTTTTCACAAGCGACCTAACCACAAATGATAGCTCAACAAATTGGCTTATCAAGTCGACAATTATACCAAGTAAAATACTCGAAGCGAATTTTTATGAATGTGGAGGGGAAAACCGGAAGACCCGGAGAGAAAAAAATCCAAACGACCACGGCGTCAGGGTCGGGATCGAACCCACGACCTCCTGCATAACGGACGAGGTAGTTAACAGGGAAGTCAACGGTGGTTGTCCTAGTATGCATAGCCTCACCCCCACCATAGGAATGAGGAATTTCCACCACTGGCTTAGGGATTGTAAACATGAGATGAGCAGCAACAGCAGGAGATCACTTTGACTGAAGCACGATGGGCGGTAGTTGAACCCGTGGTGGGATTTGAACTCGGGGCTTTCCGGGTGCGAGTCGAATGCTCCAAGCCACAGTGCCACGGAGGGAATCTCGTGTGTGCGTGTGCGTGCATAATAAAACGTGTGTTGTATGCAGCGCATTGCTGTTGCACAGATCACGCCTCTGCCACCAGGGTGCATCTGTGGCTTAGGTCTGGCTCCACGGCCCTTCGCCTTATCTCTCCCCCCTCCCGCCGTCCTCCCATGTGGACCCAGCATTTCTTCAAATCACCATCACATCCCGTGCACCCCACCCCCCAATACCTCCCTCCCCACTCTTTCCCAACACCTTCCGCCCCCCACCACCATCACCCATTCATGTCCCCCCGCAACACACACAGCCCCCCCCCATCACCCTCAGATGCTCTAGATGGTTTACCACCCACACCATTCAGACTCATTCTCCTGGCCCAATGAGACGCAAAGCACAAAGCCGGCTACACAAACTCTGGCTCTCAGAACCTGTCTCGGGACACAGCGTTGAAGCAGGCGTCGGCTGCTGCTGCTGCTGTGTCGCGACAAACAGTGGGACGCGACGAGAGGGCAAGAGTTTGTGTGTCCCCCTCCAGATGCCACCTCTCGCGTCCCATCTATCTCGAGTTTTTGTCGATGTAGTCGATGTAGTCGTGCGTTAAAAGCGAGAGTGCGATTATCTCCCCGCAGAATGAGACCTGCGCGCACTGTCGCTGCATTGAAGCACGCGCCTCGGTAGCTATCTTGCCTTGCGCGATTCTGGAGTGTGGCGACGGCGTTTGTTTAACCCCCTCCCACCCCAACTCTCTGTTCTTACACGCGTACACGGTAGATGTGTACACACAAGGGCAGTTGTACTCCAGACACTTCAAATGCTGCTTCTGCTTCATTTCGCAATGGGAGTACTGATATGCGGTGAGTAATCAATTATACTTCTGTATGCAGACACGAACACACGGACGCACGTGCACACGTGGACTAATCATGCGCGCACAAAGCACATGTATGTATGCGCGCACACGTGTAACATTTTGTACGTAAGCGACTGTCAGAAAGTTTTGAGAACAAGACCTCGGTAAAAGTGTCACGTTGGCGTAATATAGCTCCCTTTCTAAAGCTACTTTGATGTCATTATGTTGATCTGCGTAATTATATTCAACAAGAGATGGCAGTCATGAAGTATGATCATGGGAGTGTGTGATTTTAATTACATCCAATTTTCAACACTGTGTATCGCCCCTTTTGTATAGTAATTATGCACAATAAATACATGACTATCTTAGGTTCAATATCTGTGCGTTTGAAATATCTAGATTAGCATACTGTGCTTTAATATTACCATTTTTACTTGAATGTCTTATTTGTTCAACGTGATTGCGCGTTACAGAATCCGTGTTGAAGCGTAACCATTAGTGTGCTTTTCGGTAATAACTTGTCCACGCAATCATCCACTTCGATTCTGGCTCCACTCGAACATTTAGCAATAACGTGAAGTTATTATCAAAATCCCAAGCAGAATAATGAGTAAATGTTGGAAGGCAGCCCTTGGTAATCTCCACAAGATAATGACAAAAACAGTGTGAAATTATCCGTAATTGTGTTAGGCCACGAGGTAGCGTCTACGCCAACGTTGTCATTAACTTTCGATCAACCGAAGAGATTTGTCACGGTTTACAAGGATAGTATTTATACGCGCCACGTGTATTGTGAAATATTGTTCCAAATTAAACCAATTGTTTCTTTTTTTATATTGAAATACTTGCGGTCGGAAAGGGTTCAGTAGAGGTAAATTAACCGGTGGCGATTGCGTAGATATATATTGGACATGCCTGCCCAATAAACACTATGCGAGTAATTGGTGCTTGCCAGATCGTCGAGGGTTCTTCGTAGGTTACTAAGTCAGGGTATAAGAGCTGTTAATCTACTTAGTAATCTTCTTGTAAATTAAAGTGGGCGCTGTTCCATTCGTATACCTGTCGACCCCTTATCAGTGCCTACATTATTACAAACCAATTCAGACTTTATTGATCACCCCGTACCCTTATACATCTCAACGTTCATCCTACAGTTCCATCACAAGGGAGAAACTAAAAAAATATATACAAATTGCCAGGATTGAAACGGCTGTATGCCGTATGGACCTGAAAACTCAATTTCCTACAAGAATACGGGTAAACCGTATGGGTTAGGTGCTCCGGGTCTAATTTCTTTAGATTATTATAATTATGCGCAATGACAAACACTACATGTTATCAAGTAGTGATTGACGAAGGGCTGCTCAGTATAAAAAATAATCATCTTAAAAGCCATTACATAATTACACGTGTGTATGTCAGTGTTAATGTGGCTATATATTTTGGGCTATACGTATTGAATAGTTTGACTTCATACCTCATAAATATCAAGTGTTTATAAAGTGCACATTTATGTTAAATGCTTATTCAATTATATACAGGAAATCTATATGAGGGGATATAGCACTGAGCAACTGCACATGCAATATTATTCTATTTAATTGCAAGAACAATAAGAAATACCAGTGGTATCAAATCAATGTATAATGGAAGCACATGCTAGTTCCCATTGTTCACGAACATTGCAACGGTTGTGTTAATCGAGGTGTTTGCAGCTAATTTTAATTGCGGTAATTATCCACGCGAAGCGTGTTAAAGGGACAATGTACTTTTATCCCACAGTAACAATGACTTCGCGGTTCCATTTATGAAAATAATTGATTACGCGCGGTAATACGGCATTGTACGCTGGGTATATAGAACGATGCAGAGCATTCCATTCACGGTAAAAGGGATGTTAACCAGTTATGGACCAGCATGCATTCGTATAGGGTCGTTTAAAAAGAAACAATAGTCACGGAACAATGGGAGGCGATGCACGGGTTGTCAGGCTTTAGAGGAACAACGTAATTATCGTGCATTTTCCAAACACTCTGGGCACACTGTAATGATGACACTGTCAGAATTGGCTGTCGTCGATGCGGAGTCACTGTACTGAATGGAATAAGATAATGAATACGGTAAGCACACAATAAACGTAGCCACCTGTGCATTTTACATCCCTTGTCTATCGCTCTGGCCAACGGGGCTCGGCAACACAACAATGCAGAGATACTGAATATTATTAGGTCGACAGTGTCTCGTACATTAGACTGTGAGGCACATCATGACTGTATGTCTCCTGGTGTTACAGCTGCTGCGCCTGCTCTGTGTATAGTGATCCATATTCGCTTATTCACAACCCATTTGCTCAAGTGATCCTGGTTCACCTTCAGTAACTGCCCGTGGTATAATAATTCTCTGGTAGATATTTCCTTGGTGTCCCTCCATCGGATATCTTAAATTGTTGAGCAAAGTTGTTATGCCCGACTTTCATTTCGTTAATATGTATCGGTCATCAGCAAATCCGAGATAATTAATCTTCTCAATCCATATTTACTACTTAATTGCCACTTGGATTCCTGCAGTCACGAAAGCTTCAAATCCAGATTAATTGCTCCAGTTCAGTGCCTTAATATATTCCGAAAGAAACAATAGTGTATATTATTTTGAAGTGTTTCTTGGCATATTTGCGTGTACGCATGTACATGTAATAATAGTTATCCTATCCATATACTTTTTCCTGCTAAATTCAAGTGGAATTTCCACCTGGGCTCAGGTCTGAATAGAGAAAAGGAGCACTGGCCCAGTTAAGTTTAGTATAAAGACACCAAAAGTGAACTCGTACACATCATACAAAATAACCGCACATAAGATTAGAATAATCTAACTCAACTGAATCGTTGTAAAGATGTAGTGACGTTATTTCACGCGGACAAATTTTATTTTCCTCCCGTGTCACTTTTATTCGAACAGAACTTCTCGCGTTCAACACCACGTAACTCCGTCGCAACTCGCCCGCTTGCGCTGCTCGCCTGCTTCGTTCTCTCCCTGCCTCTTCACCGCTAGCCTGCCCCGCTCTCACCCCGTTAGCCTCTCCGCTGCTAGCCTGCTCTCTCATTCTGCTGGCCTATCTGCCACGCTCCGCTCGCTCTGCTCTCTCACTCTGCTAGCCTCTCACTACACTGGTAGCTTCTCTACCTCCACTGCTAGCCTTTCTACCCTCACCTCTCCAACCTCACCCTTGTTTCGGCCATCACCACTGGGGAGGATGAGGTGTGGAGAGCGGGGGCCCTGGACTTCCCTTCCGTTCGCTCCTCTCTTTGCTCCAACCAACAACTCCCCTCCTGCCTCACACGTTGTCCTATTAATCCTGCTCCTCCTTAAACGCCCTAATTAAGCTGGCGTCCTCCCGTCGCCCCTCGCACGTGGCGTCCGCTGCTATCGCCTCAATCTGCAGACTCCGAGACGCCTACACCGTGTCTGCATTTGCAGCCAGTCATTTACCGCTACGCATCTTAATTGGCCGTTTCTCTCTCTGGATTGTTCTCACACCGCACCTGTTTGTCCTGGCGTGAATTCACTATCCGCGGCTCACACGTGCATGCACACTGCTTGCAAAAACCCCACGCGCGTTACTCCTTCGACAGATATAAAAACATGACATTCAAATAAATATTGTTTATCTTATACACGGTGAAGCGATGGACCGTATTAAGAACATCATAACTTGGAGAACATTTAAAATGAACGTACAGATCCTAAACTCCTGTCGATTTAGATACAAAAAAAATCGAAAGGCAAACGACGTAGATTTTCAAACAAAATACTCTGAAAGCAAAGTTTGCGCACGTCGGGTAGAGGGTGAATGAACGGACGCGCGTTGTCGCACAAAAGAGCCCGACACAAATGAAGTGAATCGTGCGTCCTTATTATCGACATCAACACTCTCTCGAAGTGTCGAGGATTTCGGGACTTTGAGTGATTTGACCGCAGCCGCTGTACCTGAGGCCCGCGCGCGCGCTCTCTCTTCGCAAGGAGGCTTCCAAGTGCATAGTGGAAAATGGATTCGTGAGCGTACAAGGTGTGGTGCACGTAACCGCAAGTTATACGCAAGTGTCTTTTGTCACGACTGTAGTGTGATTGCAAAGAAGGTGCTGACGCGAGCGTGAAAATGTATATCATTGCAGTTCACGAGGAATATGCGAATGGCAAGGTCAAATGCAAATCTTTAGCTTTTTTGCACCGTCACGTGAATATGATACGCCTGCTCTGGAATGGTTAATGGGTATTACAAAGGGATCTGTGCACGCAACAATGCATATGCAATGTGTGCTCCAGGTATTATTTTAATATTACATATGCCCGCACGTATAAATAATGTTTATCCAATTTATTTTATGCGTTCACTTTACATGTGTTGCGTTATTATTGTATAACTATTACTTTATTTCCTTTCTTCATTGACCAAAAGAGACATGTACGCTCTTATTTTTAAAGCTGGAATAAGAGGTGGTTTTCCATAGTTGTTTCTACAAACGTTTGAAAGGTAATTTTCATCATTTACATATTTTTCGGTATTTTCATAATAAATTATCACAGCAGAAGCATTTGTAATATTTTAATTATTTAATGATTATATACACGTTCAGCGTGTTTCAGTAGTTTGACTGTCATCATAAGTAATGGATATTTTAGAGCAGAGAATGCACAAAAGATTAATATCTCTTTATTATAATCGTATTACATTTGGTGCTTGCGCTAATATTATACGCACGTACAAATGTTTCTGTATTTTCCTAGGCCACTCGACAAATAGTTTGGCCTCCCAGTGGATGTTCTTCTCGTTTAAAGTACATCAGAACAAAGTGCATTAATTCATGTATGTATTTATACTGTTTCATGCTGCTATGGATGTAGTTTTTTAAACACCTATAGTCTTTCTAACACATTCACCAGTAATCGTCATCTTTAGCCCATTCCTATATTTCAAAAATTAATAAAGAAGTCCCTTAAATAAAA